TCACACACACACACACACACACACACACACACACACACACACACACACAAAGGTACAAGGGACATAACCACATAAATCATGTGTATTCAGTATTGTGTTGACAAGAGTAGTTTTCCGTAGTTTTTTCGGACTTTTGACAAGAAAAAGAGTTCCTGGGGAACCAGAGAGAGTTTTGTATTACTGTAAAACTCTCTGAGGGAACTGTGTAGCCCACTGTGTTGTCCATTACTGCATAAAGAAACAGCTGGAACCCGAATCTAGTGATTTAAAAAAAAATACAAGTTTAGATCTCTTGTAGATCAACGTCGTTTATATTGTGAACTTTAAAAATATGTTCTAAAAGTTTTGTTATACAATATGCAACATCATGAACTTTTGTTTTCCAGTTCTGCCCCTAGACTTACAAGCCTTCGTTTTCAGTTCCATTATAAATTGTGAAGCAACGTGGTGGAATCAGGCTCTCGTCAACATTTGGGCTTGTAGAGTTATTGGTTCGTTCGTTTGTCTTTATTTGGATGAAAAAATGTCCATTTATCTTGAATACAAATGGAGATATTTGAGAATGAAGGAGGTGGGGGTCACCTGTTTTCAGAGGAAAAATTAGTGAGAAAATAGCCAGCCAAAGATTGGTTATTTCCTTAGCTTAAGAGTCCGTGGTAACCGAAAATTTACATCTTTGTGCCTTTAATCAACTTTTCTCAGAAAAATCCACACAGAAATGAGTTCTTTAATGGATATGAAAGGTGTTGAGCCAAAAAAACAAAAATTTGATAAAGATTCACAAACCTGCGGGAAAATGCAAGTTTCTTCTCTTCGATTATTTTGACGAGAGCCTGATTCCACCACGCTGCCTCAAATATGTCCATAGTAACAAGCGTAGTCTATGGGTGGTAGGCGGGGGCTCTTGTGTGATTTGTTATTTTCTTTCAATGGGACACTCATTCAGAAAGCCCAGCGGAAATATCACAAGACAGTAGATGCCATTGAACCCACAGGGATCACAAATCAGGGGTAGGCCACGAGAAACCTGGAGGAGATGTGTGGAAAGAGACATGAGAGAGATGAAGCTCACTTGGAACGAGCTTGGAAGGATGGCCTAAGACAGAGATAAATGGAAGGAGCTTTTTTTTTTGTATGTGGCCTACACCGTGCCTCGGGTGGAAGGCATTGATGACGATGAAATGCTACTTTAATTTCAAAACGTATGACTTTTCTCCACAGATCTGAGTTTGAGGAAAAATTTACCGCTTCAATAATACAGTAGAGAAAGATGACGGATCATGCTGGAGCCGGGGAACCAATGGTTCAATCTGACCAGCCACGGAGATCGTCCGATGTGAAATTTACAGACAGAACTGGACCGGTCGGCTCGGTGCTGAACTGTTTATTTGCCGTAAGTACTTGCTTTTACTTTTTTCTTTTTTCATCCTCTGTTGCCATTAAACATCGAGGGGAGAAGCTGCTTTTTATGGTAGGCCGGCACCTCAGCTTTTTTGACTGGGATAATAATTTTAATTTCCTCGACTCCCACAATTCATGTTTTGCATGGTCGACCTCTTCCTTTATAGCCTGAGTACTTGGTAATATAGACTCTCAAGGCTGGCTGGCTAGGTGACATTTGTAACAGGTTTGCCAAACCACTGTGTACCAAATTCCCTGCTGTAGGGGCCTAATGGATGTGAAGCATGGACCATCAATGAACGAGCCGGGCTGTGTTACCCGTAAGGCTGTTTAGGCTGTAGCCTCGGGCCCCGCGCCTCAGGGGGCCCCGCGCTTACAAACATGACGTTTAAAAAATGTTTTTCAAAACTAAAATTGTCCTCTAGTTGAATTGTTGTTGTTGTTGTTTGTATTGCTGTTGTTTTTACAGTTGTTGTTGTTGTTGATGTTGATGAGAAGGATGTTGATGCTACCGTTGTTGCTGTTGTTGTGGCTGCTGCTGATGTGTTTTCCGAAGTTGTCTTTTGACTATGCCTAGGTGCTAGGCGGAAAACTATAACATTCTGTGCTTGTCGTCGTCTTAATCCACCTTATTGGTGGATACCGGTAGGCCTACATCTAATCACGATTTACAGTATAGCTTTCCATCAGTACGGGGTTACAATGCGGTGGTAGAAGCATCAACGTCATCGAAGGCTCATGGACAGCCTAGGGCCCCGCTCCTAGTTAACGCGGCCCTGTGAACGAGACCCCAAAAAAGGATTACAGCTTTCAAAGGAAAATGTTTCAAAAGAACTCGAAGAATATTCCTTGACACATAAAAAGAAAAAAAATTGAGAAGTTACAAGAAGAATAGGTATAGAATATGACATCTTGCTAAACATAATGACTCTGAAACTGAACTACTTTGAGCATATCAAACACCATGAGTCACTCAAGAAATATATATACTGGAAGCAGAGATTGAAGGCAAGAGAGGAAGGGGGAGACCTAGCAGAAGATGTGAATGGCAGAACGGCAAGAGGCATAATGTTTTACTGCAGAAGGTTTGAGAAGTAACATCCTATTAAGGGGAAAGCTAAGTAGAAGGAGAAGAAGAATGTCTAGCGCACACTTTTCGCTGATGCTTAGTTAGGTCAAAGGGCAAAATTTACTTTTGCCGGATTGTAGATGTTCAAGGTCAGGTCTGAAAACAGGTTGTGGGTGAAGGTCTGACTTTTTTTCTTCGCCCCCACTGTGTGTCTTTCTTGCTTTTTCCAAACTGCTGAATGGTGGTTGTCATGACAATATGCTTCACTTACTCAAATTAAAATTCAATCTTAATAGGTCTGGATTTCCACCCTCCTCCCGTGACACCTTTTTTCAGGGGTGAGGCTAGTGTTAACCAGAGGTATTGGCCTATATTCTTGTTCTCCCTTAGCCATACTTACTTACTTACTACCCATTACGCCATCTGGTGTTTAGGGCAGCAACAAAGGATCTCCAGCTCTGTCTGTTTTGGGCCATCTTGGTCAGCGTTCCCCACGAATGATTCCAGGACTTCATTTCAGACTCTACTGTGCGTCTCCAGGTCACTTTGGGTCTGCCCCTTTAGCGACGTCCTTCGGGTGTCCAGTGGAGGGCAGTCTTCACAATAGAATCTGGTTCTCTTCTCAGAACATGTCCGATCCATCTCCACCTTCTCCTTTTTATTATGGTTGTCATGTCCTCTTGCCTACATTTACGTAACAGATCTGCATTGGATATCTTGTCCATAGAAATCATCTATTGTTTTGTTTTTTTAAATAGAAAGTCTTTACATTTCAATAATACAGAAAAAGGGACAAATATTGATATCCCAGTGGATTATGGAAGGACAAATGAAAGCACTTATCTCCAAATAGATGGAAGCAATGTTTCTAACTATGCAATATTACACAAAATATGTATGTTCAAATGTATTTGTTTTGTTATCACCTTGGTTCATTTCATCTCTACCTTTTCTCTCTATTTATTTCTTCTTTACATTAACCACTCAGTCAAGAACTGTATCTTGAGAATATCCTTTTAGTTTACATGATTGTTAAACTACATCATGATCTTAAAGGGTTTTTTGTTACAGCAAGTACAATCAAATCCTCTTAAACTGAACAAAGTTATTCCAAACACAGTGGTAAACTGAATGAAATATCCCCTTTTTTTCTTCTATTTGAGCAAGCTCCCTAAATTAAAGACCCAGCTAAATCGAAAAAAATTCTCCAGTCCAGCAGACTTTTGTTTAAGCCGACTTCATTGTACAACTAAGCGGTAGTAAGACTTTTTATTTTATTTTTCCTTTTCTCCTCAGTGCCCCAAATGGATGAAGGACAACCTCCTGCTGGTGCTAACAATCGCTGGGGTTGTGCTGGGAATCATTCTGGGCTTTGCTCTTCGTAATGCCGAACCCTCAGCAGATGCCATTATGCTCATCTCCTTCCCTGGAGATGTCCTCATGCGCATGTTGAAAATGCTTATCGTGCCTTTGATTATCAGCTGCATGATCACAGGTGAGAAGATGAGAGTAAACAAATTTTTTTTGTTTAGCTCGTTCCAAACCAAATAGATTTTCTTTCGGCACAAGTCTTATAAAATTATAGTTTGTGGTAATAGGCGTTCCTGCAAGTTACTGTTTCAAATGTCTATTCTGCCAAAGTATATAGTTGACAAGCCATTCAGCCGTTCTGCAAAATCATAAGGAAAGAAAAACCTATTTAATTTTTTGTTTAATCGTACGCAAATTATGTATCTTTTCTCTCTTTGTGCAACATGTAGTTCTTTGAATTTTCACAAAACATTTCTGGAGCACATGCAACTGATATCACTGATTAAAAAACTACAACAAGAAAAATTAAGAGCTAAATAAGATTATTTTGTGTCCTTTTATAATGCTCAGACTTCGATAATTTTATTTGGAGTATTCTTATTAATATAAATTTTGGCTCAAAAACCTAATTATGTTTGTACGTCATGCTCAAATTTTTGGAATATTTTGTTCCAGGTTTGGCTAATCTCGACGCCAAAAGCTCAGGAAAAATGGGTCTGCGAGCTATTGTGTACTATTTCGCAACGACCTTCTGCGCCATTGTCTTGGGCATTATTCTCGTGGTGTCTATCCATCCTGGATACGAAGACAACAGTCTCAGAAAGAGAAGCAAAACGGAAAAACATCCTCCCACCTCTCTGGACGCGTTTTTGGACTTGATTCGGTGAGAAGCATACTCATTACCTTTGTTTATTTAGTTTGGTAAGTTTTATGGCATTCACAACTGATGAGATCGTATGAGTGCACCTTATTATCTTTGTCTTTTAATGTTTCTGCACCTTTTTGCAATGAACTTTTTAAAAACAAAATCAATGCTGGAAGCTCATATCTTGCAAAAAAAAAGACTCTTTTTTCTTATTTCTAATCATAATTATTTTTTCTTTTCTGTTTTCAGAAGTATTCTTTTTTTTTATGTTCTTACCCTCTGGAAGATTCCCTTTTTTAAAATTTGTCACTCAGAGATTTTTAGTGGGTGGTTGGCAGGTGGTCTGGTGTGGTTTGCTCCTTCTTTCCTATCAAACATTTATCATCTTTATCTCCCCTCCTTCTTTTTTGTGTTTGTTACTCCCTTGTTACACCTGTAATCTTAGGCACTTATATAACCTCATTGTGTTGCAAGTGCCATAAAACTCTTACGAAGAAAGAAAAGAGATTTTAAAATTCTTTTTTGTACTTTTTAACAATTTTATTTTCATTTTTAGAAACTTTCTGAAGAGCTATGCTTTTCTTACTCAGTCCCTCAAAAAGGCATAAGTCAACAAATACTCTTTTCACTTTATTAGCCAATAACTTTTACATTACTTCTCCGATCCAGTGACCATCTGAGTTTGAACCTTTCAGTCTGTTTTAGTAACCTCAAATATGTCTTATTTCTGAAACATATTCTTTTTTGTTTGTGACAGAAATATTTTCCCCCAAAACATAATGCAAGCCTGCTTCCAACACACCAAGACAGTTTACGTGGAAGAGGAGCCAGAGGAATACATCCTGACTACGCTCAAGAATTCCACTAACTCCATTAACGAAACATTTACCAGCACCGTGTCCTCCGTTATAACCACCACCCAGACGATCATCACAGAAATGAACGGCACCAACATAACCAGCAACATCACAGAGCAGACAGTGACCAAGTGGGTCAGAACGTACCCGATGGCTGATGGTGTCAATGTCCTAGGTATGTCACGATCATCATGATCATTATCATCATTATCATCATGTTTATTCTGGGTACTCCTATAAGCGGGAACAAAATATCACATGTCGCTGGGACCAGGTTGAGCGAGCGAGATTGCAGTCAGACCATCATTGGAGCCTAAGATGGTATAAGAACTTTGTAAATGAAGAGCTCAGCCCACGTTGCGGAAGATGCGCCATGAAAAGGAGGATGTTAGACATATGTTGAATGTCCAGGAACAATGGCAATCCGAATGGAGTTATTTGGACGAGTGGAGGTGCCACTAAGCATATTGACAATGGAGCCGAAAAAGAGCCTCAATCTCGCTCGAAGATTTCTTCGTAGAGTCCGCCAGGCCCATTAAGGAAACAAAAACAAATCATCATCATCATCATCATCATCATCATCATCATCATCATCATCATCATCATCAGCCTTTCTCAACCCATGCTGCAGTATAAGGCAACAACAAGAGCTATCCATGTACTTCTGTCCTGGGCTATATAGTCTCCACCTCTGTCAAGCGGTATTCCATCTCTTTTGGGTTAGCTCAGTCCCTCCTCAACGTACTTTGAGGACTTCCTTCCTTTCTCTTTCCATGTAGTAGCTAGGTATACAGTATGGTATTTTTTTCCCTTATACAGTTGAAATTGTTGAAGATGGCCCCCCCATTGTCGAGGAGAAAAGTGCTTGTCTTGGACAGGTGAAAGTCTTGGATAGTGTCGCTATATTTTGAAAAACCATAAGAGGGTAAATGGGAAAGGTCATTTTTACAAGTGATTGTCTTGGACAAGTGGTCTTTAAAGCAGGTTCGACAGTATTTCCACAGATATTTTGGAAAACGGTTGATAACTTAAAGTTTTTGTCTCTCGCTTAAGTCTTTATGGAAAGGCCAACATCATACCTATGTTTTTGGGAGGCACAAGCCAATATGTTTGGAGATATTATGAGGTAAAAAGTGAACTACTTGAGTATGAAGATCAGGAGGAACACCTCTAAACACTGAAGTTGCAAGAAAAAATGACAGCAGCGGTTTTTTGTTTTTTTAATTGCTCACCTAGTGAAAGGTTAAACAGAGTTACTCATTCACAAGTGAGAAAATTTATTCTACCAAGTGTCTTGGTGTTTCTGCTGAGATGCCGTCCTTCTCCTAAATTATCTAAATTGTGTCAAAAAAAGGGTGTAGAACATGCATGAATATTTATTTGCAACTCTACGTTCACTGTGCTTCCAACAGAACCCGTAAGACTTCAATGTGTTTTTGTTGGTACATACTTCAGGTATCATCACATTCTGCACCGCTTTCGGCATCTTGATCAGCAACATGGGCCCCAAAGCCCAGATCATGATTGACTTTTTCTCTGTCCTCAATGAAATCATCATGAAGATGGTCACCATGGTGATGTGGTAAGTTAATGAAGTGATGAGGGTTTTTTTCGGAACATGATTATTAGTAGTAGTAGTAGTAGTAGTAGTAGTAGTAGTAGTAGTAGTAGTAGTAGTAGTAGTAGTAGTAGTAGTAGTAGTAGTAGTAGTAATAGTAGTAGTAGTAGTAGTAGTAGTAGAAGTAGTAGTAGTAGTAGTAGTATTTTAAATTCTATTATTATTATTATTATTGTTATTATTATAATGAAAATGATAATGATACTATTCTTATTAATAATAATAATGCTATTATAATAATGGATACTCCTTGAGAGAATCAAGCTGGCAACGGATGAGAAGCTTCGAGGAAACCAGGCAGGATTCCGCAAAAACCGATCATGTGTGGACCAGATCGCTACTCTACGTATCATTGTTGAGCAATCGCTTGAATGGAATTCACCACTCGTGGTCAACTTCATTGACTATGAAAAGGCGTTTGACAGCGTGGACAGGGAAACTCTGTGGAAACTCATGCGGCATTTTGGAATACCTGAGAAAATCGTCAAGCTTGTGAAGGCCACCTATGATGGAACAAGCTGCCAAGTCTTCCACGAAGGACAACTCTCAGAACCATTCCGGGTACAGACAGGAGTGCGACAAGGATGCTTGCTCTCACCTTTTCTCTTCATACTGGCAATTGACTGGGTCATGAAAGAAGCCACCAGAGGCAAATGTAATGGAATACAATGGATCCCTTGGCAGCAGCTGGACGACTTGGAATTCGCCGATGACCTTGCATTGCTCTCTCACACACATGCTCAGATGCAAGAAAAAAACCAAGGAACTCAACATCCTATCAAGGAGTGTTGGCCTACGTATACATCCAGGCAAGTCAAAAGTAGTGAAGCTAGGAAAAGTTTCAAACCTTGCTGTGACAGTGGAAGACACTTCCCTTGAAGAAGTGGACTCCTTTACCTACCTTGGAAGTGTCATCGATGGTAAAGGTGGAACCGAGGCAGATGTTAAAGCAAGAACCGCCAAGGCAAGGTCAGCCTTCAAGCAATTATCAAAAGTCTGTAAAGCAAGCAACATCTCACTGCGCACCAAGATTCGACTTTTTAACTCCAACGTCAAGTTTGTGCTCCTCTACGACTGTGAAACTTGGAAGACAACGAAGACAGTACTGAATAAGGTCCAGACTTTCATCAACAGATGTATGAGGAGTATTTTAAGAATTAAGTGGCAGGATAGAATAAGAAATGAAGAGCTGTGGGAATGGACAGGACAAAAGGATATAGAAGTAGAAATAGGACTAAGAAAGTGGCGATGGATGGGACACACCTTAAGAAAGCCCAGCGGAAACCTCACAAGACAGTCACTGCAGTGGAACCCCCAGGGAGCACGAGGCAGGGGTAGGCCACGGGAAACATGGAGGAGATGGTGTGGAAAGGGACATGAGAGAAATGAAGCTCACTTGGAACGAGCTTGGAAGGATGGCTCAGGACAGAGATAAATGGAAGGAGCTTGTATGTGGCTTATACCCTGCCAGGGGTGAAAGGCATTGATGATGATATTATAATAATGATAGTGATGATAATAGTTTTGTCAGTCAATGTCTGATTACAACCAATGCAACTGTTGAAGAGAATGTTTCTGAAACAAAACAAAAGAAATAGAGTTGAGATGACTTGTGGTTTCTCTATGACCAGTGAGACCAATTTTGGCAGAGATAAGAGCTTGCCACATTTTGAGCATTTTAAAGTGAAACCTTTATTTCCATTTGTAGATGTGATTAGCTTTCGGGTTTCTTTCTTGACTTTTTCATTTCCGTATCACTATAAAACTGACCTATGTTATTATTATCATTTTCAATGCTATAATGGTATAATAAGAGCTCAGAGCCTGTATGCTTTAATCGGGGCTGAGCACTATATAAATATCATTATTAATATCCCGATCTTCTATCACAGTGGGTCATTGATGGATTTTCTGCCGTAGTTTGCTCTTCTCTCTCTTCAAACGTTTATCCTCCATATTTGGCTCCTTCTTTTTTCGTATATTACTCTCTAGAGCTGGGGCGCAAGCGCGAGAACGGAACTGAATCGCCACTCTTGCCTGCGGAACGAGATTCATGATTCACTTCAGCGGAAGGCGGAACAGTATCGCCTTCCAATTCCCGATTCACTCCTGTGTCTGTCACCACTTTGCAGCTTATGTTTTTGTAACCTACTGCTGAGTCGCGAGCGCAAGAATGGAACGTAACACTTAGTATGGCTCCGCTTATTTTACAGAAGATGGTATAGTCCAACCCCCCTATTAAAACAAAATGCACGGGGTCCAACCAATAGACAGAAGGAATTTTATGGAGACATTGTTTTAGCGAATCATGGGGTGGGGGAGGGGGTGAATTTATGGGGGCCGCTAATTGAGGTTAGTAGATAGAGCAGCGCAACGAAGGGTGGAGGGGGGGAAAGGATGGTGGGGGCAACAAGAGTGGGACTCGCGCTCGCTAAGTGGCATTGATATGACACTGTTCCGTTTCAGTCAGGGTTCCGCCACAGTTCCACGAGCGCTCTCGTACTCGCGATTCTTTGAAGCCGACTGAATCGCAAATCGCCAATCTCAGATTTGGCGAGCACGATCCAGCTGTATTACTCTTTAGTAACACCTTTAATCTTCGACAATTATACAACCTATTTGTGTTGCAAGTGCTGTAAAACGCTTACTAAAACTAAAACGAACAACTTTTCGACTGCTCATACCTCTTCTGTGATAGGAAAGTTTATTCAGCATCACGTTTCTGGTCTTCCTCCTTTATGGTCTAATGTGTTAATAGGTGGAAAAAAGAAAGACTAAACAAAAATATAATAAACAGAAATTTCAAAAATGTATTTTTTTAAGGTGGGGCCTAAAAACATTTGCAATCCATCAACAGCTGCATACTATAATTTCCCAATATCCCACCACAGGTACTCCCCTATCGGCATCATGTTTCTGATCTGTGGAAAAATTCTTGCCCTGGAGGACCCGGAGAAGGTTGGCAAACAGCTGGGTATGTACATGGTGACCATCCTGGTGGGCCTGGCCGTCCACAGCATGATGATCCTGCCCACCATTTACTTTTTGCTGACCCGGAAGAACCCGCTGCGTCTGATGTGGGGCGTGATTCAAGCTTATGTCACAGCGCTGGGTACTTCTTCCAGGTAAGCCTTTTCGGAGTTGCTTACTGCCTAGTAATTTAACTCTTTAAACGCTAAGTTTTTTCCACTGTTTCCTGAAGTTTTTTCTACAGTCATCTATACCTGGTGCACTATGTCTCATTATAACCCTGAAAGCTTGCCTCTAACTTCTAAATTGCAGAAACAAAGGCTTAGTCATTACTAAAAACTTGCATCAGGAATAGTTCTGAAAAACAAGCAAAAACTAGCACTAAATGAAACAAAACATTTGTCATTAATATCGGACGCTCCCAGGGGTTTAACGAGTTACGTAAGATCGTTTAATTCATTTAAAAGCACTGTAAGTTGTTTCTTGTTTTAGACTTATGAGATGTATACTACATTTCATATCAGATCAAAATGTATTGTTTATGTGTTGCTGTTGTATTTGTAAAGCACTCAGATCTTAAATTCTTTAATAATCAGAGTGGTATGCTATATGAATGCCATGCATTATTACATTAGAGGCATCACTCAATACTGCCCATCTTAGCCTCACTTAAAGACCTTGAGTTTGCTCAGATCTATGCAGGTAGCAGTACAATCTGCTAGCAGTGAAACAACCTAGGGAATGTTACTTACCCTCTACCAATATATTTCTTTCATCAGGTAGTTGAAGATTCAGGAACCATAAATAGGAGTGTCAAGTGGGTGAATGATTCAGATTTAAGTTAATTTTTGGGATGAATGAAGATCGTTAAAATTTAGTACAAAGTAATTGAAATTGTGGATAAAGGTTCAAGAGCAATTAAATAGACGTTTTAACACGAGTTCTTGAAGGAGAAACATTTAGACATTTTCTGTCAAAAATATAAAAATTTGGATGTTTTGCAGGGTTGAGAGTAAATATTTAATAACTTATTTTTCTTTTTATTAGTAATATATAATAAATAGAACAGTGCAGCTGGAGTATAACAAGCTATTTCTTTTATACTGCAAGTACTGTGGAACCTGCTCAAATGGCCTCCTGTCCAAGACATGCATTTGCGCAAATGACAACTTCCCTTCCCTTGCAGGGTTTTTTCCTTTATTATATTAATAGTAATTATAATAATAATAGATAGCATTTGTTTAGCGCAAATCCCCGCTCAACAGCAAGCTCTATGGGCTTTACAATCTATACTATTACCCCAGCAGACCTGAGAGCATTCTGAGACAACCTCAACTTTCTGGGAAGTATACAGTGCATGCGGCCATTTATAGGCGCCAAAACACTAACATACTGACAAGATCTTTCGCTTTCTATGGCCGGGTACCCATTCCCATCTGGATGAAGTGAGGAAACTTCGTGTAAAGTTCCTTTCCCAAGGACACAACATCGGATCCGTGGCTTGAACCCCGGAACCCGCAACCTCACGACTACGAGTCTGGTAGCCTAACCACTAGGCCACCACTGCCACATATTGACACTGTCCAAGAGGACAGGTCACTGAAGGTGACCACTTTTCTCTTGGACAATGAGTGGTTGTCTCTGACAAGTTCGACTGTAATTGAAAAACTTTGCATCAAGTAGTCATACATGAGTTAAAACATGTAGTTAAAAAATTTGCTTTGTTTTTTTATACGTCTCATTTGTCTTTGGCCATCCTCAGCACTGCCACTTTGCCAGTGACGTTCCGATGCCTGGAAGAGAATCTCAGTATTGACCGCAGAGTCACCAGATTTGTCCTGCCTATCGGAGCAACCATCAACATGGACGGCACTGCTCTCTACGAGGCTGTTGCTCCGATCTTCATTGCACAAATGAACGGAATGGACCTGAGCTTTGGAAAAATCATTGCTATCAGGTTTTTAGATTTTCTCAATTTTTCATTTTTGCTTTTGACTTTTGGTACATTCCAGCAAAAATAAACTATAATATTGTCTCTGCACTAGCGAAATGGCATAACTCAGAATTGTGCCAGAATGCAAATAGCCTTTTATTTTGTTTAATGGTACTATATCTATCTTTTGGTTAAATCAAAACAAAAGTGTGCAGGCAGTCACAAAAGAAGCATGCTTGGCCAGTTTTACCATTATTAAATGATCAATAGTCTAGTTAAACAGTTTTTTCCTCTTTTTCTCAAAAGTAGCATAATTGAGATGTGCCCTTTTGCTAGCTCAGTGATGATATCATCAGTGTCCAACTCTAACCATGTATCCATCACATTAGGTCAAACACTTCTTCAGTCTGTAATTATGTTGTTCACTTATAAATAGGTATGTAGTACAGGCAAGTAGATATTAATGGAAAATGAGGACCACAAGAAAAAGCAATAATACAGCTTCTATTCAATAGATGGGCTGACTTTTGAAAGTTTAAAATAATGTACGTTCCGCCTAGTGCCCCCATCAAAGCCTTTTCCGTTTATGTCTGGTTTCAGCGTGACGGCAACATGTGCCAGTATTGGTGCAGCCGCCATTCCAAGCGCAGGGCTGGTTACCATGGTGATGGTGCTCACGTCTGTTGGTCTCCCAGCTGATGACATCAGTCTCATTCTCGCTGTGGACTGGTTCTTGTAAGTTGTGCCCTAAATCTCTAATTTTTATTTTATTTTTATTTTTGTATGTTGGGATGTAAAATATCCACCCTCATCAAGAATCAATCTTGGGTATCCTGCATGCAACAGCAAAGTGTCTAACTGCTAAACCACAAATGCCAGTCTGTGTCCTGTGATGATGACACTAAAGGGTAATTAGACCTTACAAAGGAGACAATGCTGATATATGTGGGTGCAAGGCTATGAATTTTTGTGTTTCATATGGTAGGTATCTCTACAGGTTTTTGCTCCTTCATCTTTTCAATTTTTAAAATAAATGAGTGGTTAGTAGACACTCTAGTGGCATGCTAATTTTTTCAGATTGAACATAGTTATCTCTACTTCTTATTTTCTTTGTATATTACTTTCCAGTAACACCTCTTATATTCAGCACTTATATGACCTATTTGTGTTGCGAGTGCCATAGAATTCCTCCTAAAACTGAACTAAGTCGTTTTTATTTAATGTTGTTTACTGTTATCCTTGGCAGGGATCGCTTCCGTACAGCCACCAATGTTCTCGGTGACAGCTTTGGCGCTGCGATTGTCGAGCATCTCTCGCGGAAAGAACTTGAGGATGACCAACATCGCCCCCTGGACGATGCCATTGAATTTGACACTCGTGAAAACGGGAAGCGTCAGTCCTTTGGCAATGATACCAGCGCCAAAGGTGGGATAGAAGATCAACTCTGAGTCATTCCTTCAGAAGAAAATGGGCCCTTCTGAACTTCAGGTTTTTCCCTGAATGTCATAGCATTCTACCAGGTGAACGAAAAGTTCACCTGAAGGCCATCTACGGATCAAAAAAATTAATATCTTAAGTGATTCTTATGTTTCATTCCCTCATAAGTAAATGACTTTTTTATTTTCATACTGCCTACTTCTGTTTTACTGGGAGCAGAGAGCTTTTCCCTCAATCTGAAGGAATGTATTTGGGATTTTTTTTTAGATTAGACGCATTTGTTTGGAGCTTTTATTAAATATGTTTGTGGTTTTTTTAGAATGAATTTCAACTTTCAAATGCACATCTCTCAGTTGTTTTGTATTCAGTCTGTTTCATCTTTGACAGTTTTTCCTTGATTTTAGTTCACACTTAGCTCAGATGGTATAGTGGTAGGCCATGGTATGGAAAACTTTGGTTTGAACCTCCTATTTGGAGAAATTTTTCAAGGTTTTTCTATATAGGCCTATGTTGGTCAAACCTGTGGGAGGTTGCTGTTACATTTGGAGATCCTGATTATCAAATATCCATACAGGGTAAAAATCATAAAATTTACCAATTACCCTTTGAGATTTTTAATATAGAAACTTTCCCATCGTCAAAGTTTGAATCTTAAACCTTGAATCTCTTCTGTGTCAAACATTTGAAGGAGTGCAGGATTAAACTGGAAAAAAAATTCCTGCTATTCTGTTTTTAACCTGTTTTTAAATGGTTAGAGATTTTAACAAATTTCATTATACTTGGATTTTAATAAATTGATCCGTAGATAGCCCTAATGTCATCAAATTTCTTTACATCTGGGCTCGGGCAAAATTTTATGTAAGGGTTTCTGCCAATGTCACTGGAAATGCAGAGGTTTAGACAACAAAAACAACTGTAGAGTATTTGGGTAGAGGGTGCGGGGAGAGAGGTGGGGAGAGAAATTGTCACAGTCCATTTTGTTTTTGTTATGTTAATTCTAAGTCAGCACATTGCCTGTATAAAAAGCCACGAGATGTTTCAGTGTGTTGCATAAAGCCATTAAATGAATATTCAGTCTCCATTTTCCCACATCGCAAAATCAATTAAACTATTAGGAAAATTTCAGTTTTACTGAACAAAAGCTAAAGGAAATGGAAGACTACCGTGAAAGACATTTACCCTTATTATAGGACGGCCTAACATTCTCAGGAACATAATATATATTTGTGAACAGTGTAGATTTTATTGATGATGTAGTGCCAGTAAAACAGGTATTACTTTCTATGGCTCTGTACAGTGCATACGGTGTCAGTCTAGTTCAGCTTAGTGTTGAGCAAAAAGTGACTGCGTTCCTGTAAGACTTATTTTACTAAGAATTGAAGCAAAACTATAATATGATTCCATCTCTTTCCTCGTATAATGTTAGTTCATGAAACTGAAGAGCCATTTCTGAATTTATTTTTTTTTGGCTTTTATTTTTACTCATACATACATATAGTTTAGAGCCATTTTATGTCCTATGATTTTGACCTCATTAAATTTCGCTTCAGTCACCTGGCCACTTTCTGCCTGACACCATCCAAACTGTTCAATTTTTGTGGGCTTCGAGTGAAATAGGTTCCAACTTCATCTTGAGTATTATATGATATTGATGCCGGAACTTTTTTCCTTAGGGCTCATGCTGTGTAAGACTGGTCAACCTTGCTATCGTCATAACTGTGGCCCCCTGAGTGAAATTTCAAATTTTTGGAAAAGCTAAGAAAATGTGTCTGGAGCTTTGTTTAACCGTATAGATGGGACTGCACTATGTTAACCCTTTTGTGCACAAAACAAATCTGATAGGCAGCCTTTGGACAACAGCTGCTAGGATGGCATATATTTTTAAAGGGCAAAACAGAGCTATTTTAATATGAAAATAATGTGCAGTTCACTTAAAACTCACGAATATTCTGAGGCATCATGGTGAAATCAGGTGCTCATCAAAACAATAAAAATGAAGGAACAGGCATTTTTTCGGCCAGTTTGGCAATTTTTTTCGAAATCTTGTTTTTTAGCTCAACATCTTTTGTGTCCTTTTAATTATAAAAACACATTTCCATAAGTATTTCACTGAAAAACGTTAATTAAAGGCACAGAATATGTAATTTTTCTGTTTTCAATGACTCTCAAGCTATTAAAGTTACCGAATTTTGGCAGCCATTTTCTCATTAATTTTACTTCTGAAACCAGGCGACCCCACTTCGCTTCCTTCAGTTGCAAATATCTCAACCTCTATTCAGGATAGATAGGTGTTTTTGTTACTGAAAACAAGGCAAATGAATAAGCTCTTAGATGATACCAATAACTGCACATGTCCAAAAATTGATGAGCGCCTGATTCCACTGTGTCGTGACACAGATATTTTAGAAAAGGTTTTTATTTTTAAGTTCATGCAGAGGGCTGCTGGGGATGGAAAAGCTGATTGTGTCTTCACCTCATTTTGATATTTTCAACTCACTGTACTTCATTGTTTGCTCCGTATCATACACTGGTGGTTGAAATCCAGATGTTTATGAACTTCGTTGTATGCTAAGACCCTCTTTATACCTTTAGACCTGTGTCTGTATGTATGCTATGTCCATGAGTGTTGTTTTCAGTTTAAACTTTCTGGTCTGCTCGTATATTCACGTACATCGTCTGCCAACATGGATGACAATACCAAAATTTCAGCTAGATCACTACAAAAACAAGAGCACAAACTTTACAGATTAAAATACTGAATGACAAAGCTAAAGTTGAAAGTGGGCTTAAAACGTTGCCACAAAGGATTAAATGTACCTCAGTCTGACTTTTTACCCAGAATGTCTTTAGAGACTGCTGCAAATATCTTGGAAGAAAAAGAAATCAAATGAAGTAGTACTTGAACAAACCCACTTGCTGATTAAACACAATCAGTAAAAGACAAAAGGAGTTTCTGGGCTGTCTGAATAGACGTGAAGGCCTTGAATATCTAGCTCTCAAGGGCAAAATTGGTAGCAAACGACCAGAGCAACATTCTTTGAGAGCCTAAACAGATGGCTGATGGGGAAAGATTAGGATAATATTACAGCATTTTTTAGAGCATCCGAGCAAAACAATAAATTTTAAACCGTGATCGCCGATGTCTGGCACTTGATAAAGATGATATGCGATTTACACCATCCCTATGGGAGCTTGTTGATGGGAGAAATTTCAACGCTTCTCTAAATCTGAGGTCTCTGGCAGATGGTGAAGTTAACACACATACGGACACAGGTCAAGTGTGAAAATTTGAATGTGATGTACAGTTTTCATGCTCTTAACAAGCAAAACGAAAGCCTGTCCTTCAGCCACATAAATGTAGGTCATTGGTGTGAAAAAGTCAAACTTCTAGTATACTGAAGTTACATGGCAACAATATCTCAGACCTTTTTCTTGTCACATTCTCTAAGTAATGAGCTTCCACATGTGTTCAAAAGTTGTTTTTTTAGTTCTGCTTATTTGTCTACATATTTACGTGTCCAATTCGTACACTTATTGTGAGAGTCCTTTCATAATTCATAGTCATACCTCTTACAGAATGTAAACTTTCTAATTCTGTGGTAAGTTGGGTGTTTTGTTTAGATGTATGATGTAACTTTTATTTTTGCCTTTGTTTAATTATTTCTGATAAAATCGTAGACTTTTAAATTTGGAGTGGAAGAAATTTTTGCACTGTAAACGTTCTATTTGACACCCATTAAAAAGGATGACATGTTAACTATTTCCCTGTTAAAGAAAAAAAAGAGAAAAGAATCAGTAGCTGAAGACTTTTTGTTTTGCAATATTGAACTTCAACAAACCAAAAAAAAAGTTTTTTTAAATCAAGAGTTTGCCTTTAAGAACTGACTCTTTTAATCATCGTTTCTTTTTTCTAAAAATCCTCTCAAAGGAGAAAATGACCCTTGATAAATGATAATGTCTTTGAAGTATTGTTGGAATTTGAATTTTGTATGAAGATAAGAAAGAAAAACTAACCTTACTTGATTTTCTTTTTCACAATTATGCAATACTTACTATCTCCTGAAAGCTCAAAGAAGAAAAAATGACACCCTTCTGCTAGTGAGTAATACAGCATAGAACAGCTGTGCCCTAATAGAATATAAACGAAAAGTTACAGTGTTCGACTTTGTATTTTTTACTTTTTTGTAAAATTCTGACAAAAAAACAAAAACAACCCTAATACCTGTTCACTCTGGACTATTATTTTATATTGGTCTGTGTTGCCAAAAACTTTAAAGCCATTACTATGAAATAGCTCAGAGCAATTCAAAATATGTAAATGTACTACATCATCAGAATATGATAAAAATGTCATAATGCTCTTTGAGACTTGAACTTCTATGGGGGGGGGGGGGGGGTTCTTGTAAAAACTAATGGCAGGCTAAAATAGCTTGCTAAAATGTTGTTGCATCACTTCTGAAGAGTTTTCTTTTTAATACAAGTCTATATGAGACCATTCAAAATGTTCTATGTCCACAATTATTTGGGAATCACTATTTCCATTACATTTCTGGTTTCTGCGAAAATTACAGTTCATGCATTATATGGCTTTACATTGTGAGGCATTTTGGTTAGAGCTGTTATTCTATGTGAATTTATAAAAGTGTTTGGTTGTGTTTGTGAGTATGTATGTGTGTATGTGTGTGTGAGTCCTGAATTATGCATAAACGTGTGTTTGTTGTTTATGTTTGATGTTGTACGGTCACTCATGATCCTGACACCCTGTTCTGTTCACCAGCCCCCATTGTGATGTGTACCTACAAATAGCTACAGCATCCCTGATCAGTAGTCGACTGATGCTGCGCAATTTTAAAGCCAAGGTCACCCCACTCGGAGAATGTGATCAGGGTTTGGGGAGTTGCGACAAAGTAGATATAATGTTACGAAGTCTGTCCCATTATTGCCAGGCTTTCAGCCCCGTTGTTGTGACAAGGTTGTGAAGATGTTTTGGTCTTCCATAGATTTCATAGATTTCATTTTATCCCACCTTTGCTTGTAGCTAGAACTTTATGAATGCTTTTTGTCAGTATTTGTTAGGGCGTGTTTTTTGGGGAGGGTGGGTTGTCTTTTGGGATACATTTCATTTTATTATGTGTCGATATGTTTCTTGTCTTTCTTGAAGGTTTAATTATCTGTAATGATTGCTCCTCATGGGCTATAAAATTCTGACACTGTGTTCTGCTTCTGCCTTTTTCTCTCATGTGGGAAGGTAGCCTTTATAAAACCGCAACAACTATAGATAAGCCACTTGTTTCTTAAGGTTTAAAACCACTGAATTACATCTCAGTGTACTTATGATTGAAAAAGTGATGAGATGAGCAGTGAAATAGGAGGATGTAATTTTGAATCAGAAGAAAAATACAACCTACTTTAACTTAAACACAAGAAATTCGCCTTTCAGAAACAAATGCTTTGTAGATAAATTGACCTCTTCATATGCAGGACTACTTGAAAGATAGTTCTGTCTCGCAGAAATGCTCCTTCTTTTATCCTGTGTTTAGAAACCTGAGCTATGTGTGTCAAACTACAACAGAGTGATTGGGCTATGAGGTGTTGATGTCTTCCCATTTTATTGTATGACAGTGCTACTGTAAGCTGACAAATGCCCCAAAATGTTTATTTGTTAAATCAAATGCCTGATAAGTTACCCTTCTAGAGTGAAAAAATTCAAAATGAAACTGTGGCTACTTTTTTAATAAATTAGATTTTAAATTTCATCAGCTCTCATTTTTTCAATGGTGACCCTGACAATAACCTCTTTTTCTCAAAACTGCTGTGAATGAAAAAAGGCATTTTGTAAGCTTACAACAGAGTGGGCAATGTGTTCTGCTTTGATCTGTGTAAAAACTCAATGTTTTCCCATGATCTCTTTTCTCTGTGTTCATGGTATTATCTTTCTCTGTCCGTTTGTCTGTCTCTCTCATCTTTTCTTTTTATTTTCTTGCTTGTCTTCAATGTTTTGTTACAGGCTCATTTGTGCTACTTCTAGAAATGAAATGTAAGTCCCGAACTATGAGTATGATAATAATATTATGTGTTGTCAGTCAAAAGCCATGTTCAAAAGTTTAATCAATGTACACCCTGCAGCTTTGTACGGATTATGTAGAGAGAGATATTCTCCTGAAAGAAAAGTTATGGAGACAATTAAGTAAAATATATTTTTAGAGGCTTTCGTCTTTGGGCGCACACATATTTTTTCATTAGAATAATCAATCTAATGTTTGTTTAAAAAACAAATGAAAAAAAACCCAATTATCTTTTATATGCTTATACCAGAGATTTGAGCCCAGTGCCTTGCTTTTCATTACAAGGTGTCACCTGTCATATAGATGTAATGTCATGACACAGTGTTTTCAGGTTCTCGTCAATTTTGAGACATATGGAGTTGCTTGTACATCATCCTACCTAAAGCTTTTTCATTTGGCTTGCTTTTGATGAACAAATACTCCTCTAGATAAAAATAGAGATATTTGTGGTTGATGAAGTTTGGGGTCACTCAGTGTCAGATGTAAAAATAGTGAGAAAAAGGCCACCAAAGTTTTGTGACTCCTAAAAGTTGACTGTCCCTGGAAACTGCAAATTTATCCTTTTTGTGCCTTTCATCAATGTTTTTGAACAAAATCCACAAAGGAAAGCGTTTAAAAAATTGATTTAAAAGGTGTTGAGCCAAAAAAAAGAAAATCAATAAAAATGGCCCTTTGATTGGAAAAATGCTAGTTTCTTAGATTTTATCATTTTGACGAGAACCAGAATTCACCACAATGACACACACATATATTCTGCTTCCAAAACAAACTTCACGTGTTTACTCACAATATATAGTAGCAGTATTAAGATAATATCTTATCATCCCCAGAAAATGTCCTGGAGAGACAATAAAGTATTATCTTACCTTACCTTACCTTAACTTACCTTATTTTATCTTATCTTATCTTATCTTATCTTATCTTATCTTATCTTATCTTATCTTATCTTATTTTATCTTATCTTATCCTATCTTATCTTATCTTATCTTACACTTGATATACACACATACCATCCGCACCTTCTCCTTCGATCTCCTATACCTAGTCTGGCTGACCGTTGGGGCACCACCTCAAGTTTTGCAACCTGCTCCTCCCACCCCTCTTGGTTCTCAGCTTTCCGTAGTGTGATGTTCCAGTCACGTTCAGCCCTCTCTTTGATGTTGTCTTTCCTTCCTTTCCTCTGTTTGCCTCTTTCTCTTCCTCCTTGTGCTGTTCCTTGTAGGATAGTCTTGGCCTGTCCAAATGATCACACACACACCAAATCTTGTAAGCATGCATTCACACAAGCACACACATTATTTTGGAGCCCTTTATCAGAATGTCATCAGTGCTCCTTCTTTCCGATCAGATATTTATCCTTTTTGCCTGTCCTTCTTTTCTTTGTATGTTACTCTCTAGGTATACCTCTTATGACTTATTTGCGCTGCAAGTGCCACAAAATAGTATTAAAACAAAACTGAAAATCTCTCTCTGTGTACATTTTGTTTTTTAAAAAACATTCTCTCTGTGATCTGTCTTTTTCTTTCCTCCATTTTTGAAAGGCAGTTTACAGGACAGGTGGAAAGTCTGGAGATGCAGAACTTCAACATTGGGGGCAGGATTTCCTTCTTGTGCTTAACAGGCTTCTCTTAGTTTATATCTGAATTTTTATGTTCACAACTGAAGATTGGAATGAATTTCCTGTAAATAAATGTATGCTTTTATTTCTCTGTGTAACAAGTATCCATTTTCCTGGTTCTTGTCATTTTTTATGTACTGTCAACCAGTGAGCTGAATACTTTTTTCTCTGAGCTGTTCATACTTTATACTGCTTGCTCTATGTTTATACTATTTTGTCACTTTTGAAAAATCTCTCTGATTCTTGTTTGTACGGCATTTAATGTCCAGGGTTGTTTTATTTGTTTTCACCTCAGCCGTGTCATGCGAGTTTCAAATATGCCGCATTGTAATTTCTCTAATGGAAAGGTCCAAATACATTATGGAAAAGTAGTCTGAATGCATCAGTTTGTATTTCTTTGCAGCAGGCAGCTTTAATTCTATGTATGAATTTGTTACCTTTTATTTTTATTTTCCTACTTAAAGTTACGATTTCATCTCCATAGTTTTCCCTCCTTTTTCCCAGTTGTATTGTTTGTTCTGGTTGTGTCTAAGATCTGTACATATTGTAAGTAAGCTTTGCATCATGTAATAGTCATTATAATATAGTCCTTCTGAAGCCAAATGTTTGTTGTGATGCGCTTGCCTCTGCAACTTACATGTTTTGATTTTTGTGACTCCACTGAAGAGCATAATATTCAGATGGCAGCAACAGCAACACTCTATCAGGCTTATGAATAATTAGTTAAAAGAATTTTTTTTATCGTGTGATGGTGGGAGATAATTAAAAGTAAGCTATTAGTAGCATACATTTTAGAATATATTATGTTGTGACAAGACAATTTGAGCAGGTCTGGTGATTATTCCAGTGCTTAAGCTAGACTTAATGGGTTAAAATCTTTCATTTGTGTTCTCTAATTATAATTGTAAAAAAAATTCCTTTGACACTTCTCCTGCTTTTGATTCTGGATCGTAAAAGTAAAGTAAAAGTGCTGGATCCTTCTTTTAACATAATCAGTATGTCGAACATTAGGCAGGCTTTGTAGAAACGTCATAATAGCTTCTGAATGGTCAAAAGAAAAAGGGAAAAAATTAAGACGTATAAAACTAAGAAAGCTACTCATGTTCTGCCCTATCTTTTTTTTTAAATGATTTTCTGGACATTTCAAAAATTAATTTACCTCAACGTATTGTTTCTTTGACTTGTGTTCATTTCTGCTTTTTTCTTTCAACCCCAGTGGAATGATTTCCTATTAATTCATCTACTTTTCTGTGCCTGCTTGAACGTGTCTCCCACAAGTATGTACATAACTCTTAGCACAGTGAACACAGGAAGGTGGGGCCAATAACTGGATTTGCAGTCCTACTTTTCTTGTCTTTACATTTTTTCCTTTATTTTTTTCACTTTGCCAATCCAGTGACTATCGGAGTTCGAGCCATTCATTCTATTAGTCCTTCAAGATAATAAAGATAATAGAGATTGTTAAGCACATGGAGCTTGCTGCTGAGTGGTGATAAGCACTGTGCAAATGCTATTTATTATTATTATTATTATTTCTCATCTTTAAAGTTGTTGCCTTGTTTTCGCGATGATTATTACATTCTTTCTGTCATAGAATTTAAAATTTGCTGAGGATTTTTTTTCAGATTATGGTTAATTATAATAATTGTTAATTATTTTAGAGATTTTTCAGTCAAATCAGTGCATATTTTTAAAGCACATTTAGTGATCTCTCTTTTTGTAGACTGAAAACTATGCAATTTTTGCATGACCTCAGATGAGTGCCAATTCATACATTACACATGTTTAACTCAAATCAATTATATATTTTAGTACCTCTACGAAGTTACCCTCTACGCTACCATCTATGGTTTAACTGTGGGCTCTTTGGCATTGTGAGTAAAAGACATGAACTCATTTCTCATTGAGGAAAAGTCTTGAATCTAGTCACTTTTTTGTATTTTTGCTAGAATCTTTTTGGGCTTTCCTCTCTAGTGATCCTGACAGGCAAGTTGGAGAAGCATGAGTTGTAAATTATTTAAATTGTGTCAATATGGGTGAAAAATATTTACTATCAAAATCACAGTTATCTTTGTAAGTCGTGCTGATCAGTAGGCTAATGATTTTCCAAAGTGAAATAAATAGCAGTAAAGTAAAGTTATTCCCGCATCCGATCTGGACATTGGGGATTGCCTTGTTCGTGAGATAACTTCCTGGGCCTTTGGCAGATTGTGATAGGATGGCCAGTTCGTTTCCACGCCGCCTTTACTTCCCCAACTCGAAGTCAGGTACCCATTACTGCCGGGTGGGCAGGAGGGGGCGAAAAAAATCAGTGTCTCAATCGAGGCTCGAACCTGGACTTTCTGCTTCAGAGACGAGTGCACTAACACCGCTCCACCACCGCACTCAAATAGCTGTAATTCCAGACATACCCTTAGCTCAGGTGGTATCATAAGGGACTACAAAATGCGTGGCCCTGCTTTGAATATTTTAAACTTGGTTTATTTTGGAGAGTTCCTGTAGCTCTCCAACCATTTTAGCTTGATTCTATCATATATGGACGTTAAGTGCAAAGATCCTGCTTCTTCAATAACCCTGCTGTGTTGAAATGGGACTTAACATACTAATGAAATGTAATACAATTTTGCAGTCGATCAGGTCATCAAAATACAGAGCTGGTCTCATTCTGGTGGATAAGTATTATTAAGGACACAAGAATGTATTTATTATCAGCAAGCTGCTCAAATATACTACACCCGGAAAGTAACATTTTTCAAGAGAGGGGAAAAAACGGTTACATTTTCTTTACAATTGTACCAACATAATGTTGGGGGCTTTTTTTTTCAACATTTAGAATTTGAATTTCGACAAAATGTTTCTGGACCACATGCAACCAATACCACAGATTAAAAAACTGCAACTTGTAAAATTCAAAATTTGGGGGTTTAAAACATCTGAACCTGGCCATTGTTACACCCTATTAGATATACATCTATGTCTATCTTCATTCTTATGTTACACCATATTGTCAGATTTGTGTCTGTCTTCATTTTTTACCTCAATACCATTATTTTTCTTTCTTTATTTACATTTTCCTTTTCTAAGGGGACTGCAGAAGCAAGTCATGTTGGGACCACTCTGACCTGTGTATCACTTCTTAGCTTCAAAATTTTTACAGAGAAATAAACTTTATTTTATAAAATGCATGCAAAGTGTTATTTTCCCTTTTTTCTTCATCTCTGGTGTGTTTAAAAAGGTTATTGTCAAGGCACTTGCTAAATCAAAAACTTATTTTGCTCTTCCTTATCTGAAGACACTGGCATCTGTGGTGTGGGGGGGTAGGAACTTCGCCATCGCACGCACAAGACCAGAATTCGATTCCGTTTTGGGCAGAATTTTTTTTTAGTATCTGAGTCTGTTTGCCTCTATTTTGAATCACTATCAGACCGGGTTAGTCCTGATGGGTAGGGTAGAAGCCCTCCTCCACAATGATCTACATAGTGTTCATTTGGACGTAGTAATATTTACATAACTTATTAAAACTCTTTCTGTGCCTTAACCCAGTACATCATTGTCTCTCTTAAACTTAAACAGCTTTGGACTATGTGTGGATCTTCCTGGTATAGAAAGAGTTGGGAAAATAAATCTGAGGAGACCAATGTCACGTTACACTCATGAACACTTGGAAACAAAAGGATGCAGAAATTTCCGAATTTATTAAATTTTCCTCCGACCTGACCACCGAGACCAGGTTATTTATCTATAAGAGCACTTTGCCCCAGCAGACTGACCCGTGATATTAAATTTTGAATAATATAATTATTTTTGTTTTCAAAACAACCACAATAAGCACAGAAACAGAAAACCCGACAAAGCAATAAAGGGAAGATTCAGTTTCATGTCATTAATGCTATGTTTATTTCTGACTTAAATATAGACCACACGTCCATCAATACTTGAGCATGTTGCCCTCCTCGGCCAGTGAGAGAATATTTTACAACACCAGCACAGATCTATCTCAGCTCCACAGAAGCACAACTATATCATTCTTTATCTTTCATCAAATTCTTCTGTACTGTAATGATGAACCGTGAGATGAAGGCCTTTATGCGTGTCCTCATTCAACGGACACGAGGTGAGGTCAGTTCTGAGGACAGTAGGGGACCAGGCTGGAGCATCTCTCGGAGCCGGTCTTGCCTACAATCTGTGAGCTGGTTTGGCCTGGGTGCAGAGCAATCTCCAGCTGTCCATTTACGCATTGTCTGGGAGGGACAGAGAGAAAACACGTTGTTATGTATTGGCTTTTTACTTAAAGGACATAATATACAGAACAACAATTAATGATATTATGCTTTTACTCTTTCAAGTCGCAAGCTTAGTCCCTGCTTTGTCACAACAAGTTTAGTTTGATAGTATATGTAATTATTAGCATTTTCATGATAAAAAGATAAGTTTCGAGCTACAAGTATGAATCACCCACCAAAATATACAGAAAAGTATAAAGATTTGATATACTATGAGGATACAGCATGCTGCACTGCAGGAAAGCAGGTATTTATTTATGATGAATATGGAAACAACCCAAAAAAACAAAATAAACCAATACATGCATTGCAGCGCAGCACTTCTCTCAATTGTAACACCTCAAATCATCGGCACTTATATTAATTTTATGACCTGAATGTGTTACGAGTGCCGTAAAACACTTGTTAAAACTAAAACAGCACAATAAGATAATCTTACCCGATTTCGGTGTGTCCGTTGTAGCAGTTGTAGAAGTATCCGTAGCCACACATTGGGGCACAGGCGGGGTAGTCACCGTTGGGCTTGTCACTGCACACGTCCAGACCACTCAGACAAGTCACTGAAGATAGGAGGAGACGTCAAGTTTTCATTAGGTAATAATGATCATTATGATACTATAATGATAATAATGATGAATAAAAATGATGATGATAACAATCATCTTTCATTTTAATAATACTGCTGCTGCTGCTGCTGCTGCTGCTGCTGCTGCTGCTGCTGCTGCTGCTGCTGCTGCTGCTGCTGCTGCTAATAATAATAATAATAATAATAATAATAATAATAATAATAATAATAATAATAATAATAATAATATTAATAATCGTATGTCAGTCTCTGAAGATAAACAATGCATCAGCAGAAGACAGTGTTTTAGGCGTATATACTAAAGCTCCACTTTTTAACAAGGTAAGTAGGCCTAAGGTTACTCAAGAACCAGCATGTTATCATTCTGGAATTGAATCCAATACCAGCGAGCCATAAAAACTACTTTTAAAAAAAAACATAATTTCTCAGGGATTAGTCCAAGAGCCATCATATAGTGAGTCTGGATTCTCAACCACGACAAGGTGTTGGTTTGGGTTGAGACAATTCATTAATTTGTAAAAAGAACCCGACAAGGCAGGCCTACAAAACAAAGCACCCAAGATCAAAGGCATGAGAGCACCTGAAAGATACCAAACGGGCTTAGATGCAGAACCCAAAGACTAACCCCCCCTCCCCCCCTTTTTTTGTGTTGCTCTGATCTTCTTATCTGTTGATATCCTCAATGTCTGAGTTCGATGTCCAAATCCTTAACTTTCATCACCCCATCTTTAAATAAGCTCTTTTGTTTTAGTAAATATTTTACGGCACTTGCAAAGCAATTAGGCCATGCAAGTACTGAATATTAGATGTATTACTGGAAAATTACATACTAAGAAAAAAAGGAGGAGAGATGGACGATAGACGTTTAATAGGATAAAGGAGAAAAACCACATAAGAACTTTATAAAGCCTTGTGGTGACAGCAAGCTGTTTATCAATATACCTTATGCAAAATAGAACCAATTCGTTATTACCTTAATATTTTTAAAACATTAAATTTAGGAACACACAACAATCACAGGTGACCAGCTAATATGCGCTTAAATGTACTTACAAGCCACGCAGGTTTTGGTGTTCTGGTCAAAGTACTGGTATTCCAGACATTCACAGAGGTTCTCAGTGCCGTCTTTAAGACAATGGAGGTTAGAGGCGCACTGATCGGTACAGCCCTCAAGATATCCAGGAACTAAAGTAAAAAAAAAAAAAAAAGAAAGAAAGAATAGATGCGATAAAAGTTCTATCGATTCTATCGAGGAAAAAAACCTACAGAGTTGTGACCAAAACATCTTGTTTAATGTGGTTCTTGAAACAATGTGTTTTTGTCTCTATAGTGTGTGTGTGTTTGTGGGTGTGTGTGTGTGTGTGTGTGTGTGTGTTTATGTGTGTTTGAGTGAGAGCGTTTGTGTGTGAGTGTGTGTGTGTGTGTGTGTGTGTGTGTGTGTGTGTGTGTGTGTGTGTGTGTGTATCTATGTATTACTTCCTTCAATAATATCGACCTCATTATTTAATTAATTCTCTGAAGTGCTGCACCAATTTATGTATTTGCCGAGTCACATGTTATAATGTGAGGATGTATGGGCCAAAAGGCCTTTAAAATCAATTTTAAAGATCATCTTTAAAAAATGGCTTTACTCAAGCAAAGAAAACAAACAAACCATCTTCAGCAGCCTTGCATGCGGTGGCAGACACTTCCTTTTCGATGGCATCAAGTACGTCAAAGTTGGTGGCACTGAAGACCAAGTCATCGCTGGAGGCAATCACCTTGAGCTCGTCCTGGCTGATGCCTGCTCCGACACCCACACTGACAACCTTGACCCCAGCTCCGTGCAGCAGAGGGGCTTCCGCCTGGGTCGCAGATGCTGCGAGGGAAGACATTTCGGAGAAACTTTGGTGAACGGCGTATAAAACTGAGGTTTTATACTCAGATTACTCGGTGCGAGGGGTGGGGGGGTGTGCGGGGAGTCGCGAGGGGTAAAGCCTAAATGAGCATGGGCTGAATCAAGTATTTCTCTTAGCATCGTTCAAGTATTTAAAAACACAGCTCTGAAATTGCGTTTGTAGCCTGTAAATTAACAACCCCAAAAGTTTTCCAGGGGCATGAACAACCATGTATAGTAATTCATTCATGATTTCTTTTAAAATATAAAAGATGAACATATAAACTGTTTCAAAATTATGGATTCTAGTTTGAAAAAAATTATCCTACGCCGACAATGTACTTAGAAGTTATGTTAATTATTTTCTTTGCCATTAGATATATATAGCTCAAGCAATTGTGAGTGGTTGGCAGGTGCTCGGATTTGGTTTGCTCCTTCTCACTCTTCTAACATCTTTCGTCCTTATATCTCCTCCTCCTTATAATTTTATTTGTATGTTACTGTCTGGTAACACCTCTAACCACTGACCTTTAGCATTTACTCGACCTATTTGTGTTGCAAGTACCGCAAAACTCTAAGTAAAATAATTAAATCGCTACCTCGGAGTTAAAAAAGTTCTATCTGACTTTTCTGGCTGTTTTAGCTATTCAGACCTTGAGGTCAGAAACCAAATGTTCTATCTGCTCTATCTAAATCGTTAGATCATTCAGAGTCGCTATCAAGATGTTCAAAGAGCTGCATTCGGGAAAGCTTGCCATGTTGTGAAACTGAAAACGTATAACTTCAAACTTCTCAAAACTAGGTACTGAGCTGAATGCACTTTGTAATTCCAGGGTAGCGAAATTACTCCAAAAAGCCTTGGGATCAGTACTCACGGAAAGTGGATTGTCCGTCTGTGATGACCACGGTAACCTGGGCAGCGTTGTCCCTGGCTCCACATTTCGAGTTGTAGTATTCTGTTCTTGCTGCTTTGAGAGCTTGGTGGGTCATGGTCACACCCTTCGGGTATGGGGTGTTGATGATGTCCTGAAAAAGAGAGGCACAGACAGATATAGTTTAGTTTTTAGAAGTTTTACGGCACCTGCAACACAATAGGGTCATATACAAGTGGTGAAAATTAGAGGTGTTACAAGAGAGTAACAAACACCGAAAAAAGATGGAGGGATTAGGACTTGATAAGAAAGAAGCAGCAAACCAGAGCACCCGTCAGCCACCCACAACCCCGTAGTTCTGCTATTGCCAGGACATTCAACCTCAACAGGAAAGTCCTAGCAACAGCAGAACTGCGAGGAGCATGCCAATGGTTTGATTTCTCTGATGTCGAGTTAACTTCTTGGGTGACATCGATCAAATTGTATTGTGGCTTTTAATAAACAAAGACCTAACTATACTTCTTAAAAACAAAGAATTAAAAAAAATTGTAACGTGGTTGAAAAAAAAAAGCGGATTTTCTGTTTCTTGACTTGGGTGCTGTTTAAAATCTCGGAGGTCCGGAGTGCAAGTTGCACTCAGTAAAGATCCTTTGGTGGTCCTAAAATCGATAAGATTAGGCTGCTGCCGCAACCCAAGCAGAATTAAACATTTCTACCAAACTGGAAATGTTTAGTGTTTCTCGCACACTCATTTGACCTTATGCAATTGCGAGCTTCGTAAAACACTAAAACAATACAAAACAAAAAACCCAGCCTTCTCCCTAGAGACAGGGGTGTTTCTCACAAGAGACTGGGGTGTCTATTTAACTCATCGAGGACATGCATTCTTGTCATTCAACAACACTATAAGATGCTCTGTTTTGGGGCTTAACTTCATTCTTCAAACAGATTTTCCGATTCTGAATTCTTTATCTGAAATATTAAAAGGCATGCAACAAGAAGCATATTTTTAAATATTTACAAACGTGTGTTTCTGATGTGTGTATGATGGTTCGAAATGTTTCGAAACATTGCCTTTGTCAGCTGCTGATTGAACATACGTGTCCGCTGCGTCTCAAAGTGTTTTAAAATGAAAGGGAAGAATACGTGAGAAGAATGTCGTACTCACATTAATAACTTCTTGACTGGTGTTGTACTTGTTAAAGCAGAACCGATGGTTGACTTGGGTTGAGAATGTGAGAGCAGCCACCCGAGTATTTTGAGGACCGATACTGAAACTTCCTGTGAAATGCAGATAATATAAACAAATTGATACACTCCACGAAAATATAGTGGGAAAATGATTGTTTATGCATTGTGCCAGAAGTTCGAGGTCACAGATATGAAAGGGGAATAGTTTTGGAAAGTTAAACAGTCGAAAGGAAATCACACAGTGCATTCAGATTTATATCCTTACTGAAAAAGATGATTGTTGCTTTTAAGTTACTTCTAAGCACAGTGTTGGTGCAAGGCACGCGTTTTAAAGACATCGGTGAAACTGAACTACGAAGAAGAAAAGATGTCAACTCGCGAATCCCCTTTGGCAGATGGACAACAAACTTACCAAGGAGCTTCTGAACAAAGGCCAACTCTTTCTTGAAATTGATTTCTCCAAGACTACCAGAGCAGTCAATGACAAACAGCAGATCGAGTGGAACCCTGCAAGGCGCACCTGGTGACAGATAAATCCAAGAAATAATAAGCTGCATTAGATCTTCAAATAATGATAACAGAATAATAATAATATTAATAATAATGATCATCATCATAATAATAATAATTATTATTATTATTTTTTTTTTTTTTTTTTTTTTTTTAAATTATTATTATTATTATTATTATTATTATTATTATTATTATTATTATTATTATTATTATTATTATTATTATTATAGTAGTAATAATAATTCAGATTTCCCTGATATAAAGCAATTTCTGCAATATACTTTTATTTGGTCTTTTCTCAAATCTTCAGAACTACAATGACAGAAACGGACCTATCGGAGATAGACCATAAATTCGAAAGTCTTGCTTATCAAATGTTTAACTGCATTGATAGGGGCGGTTAACCCATACACTTACTCCTACAAGTTACATAAAACTGTTCCAACAATTATTCATCCACGTCAAGATGCATTGAATAAATCATATTCATCTTAAAGCAAGTCAAAATTCAGTTTACATAATTATATTCTTTTTTTTTTAAGCCAATATTCTTTGGAGAAAATTATATTCACCATATTATTATTAGGCAGCATTCATCACCGAACAAGTTAAAGATCTTTTATAGTAACATTTTGAGACCAGACACATTAAATATTGTACTTACGCAGGACGCAAGCTTTCTTTTCAGAATCCCACTGCAGTTCACCGGAACACTGGCAAGTGTGTGCCTGGCAGGCCAGATTAGAAGCGCAAAGGCCTCCACATTTCTCCTTATAGCTTGGTACTGCAAAAAGAATCGAATGAAAGTTGAGATAAATGTAAAAGTATACATTTTACACCCTCATTGCTATTGTTAAGTCTATTTAGAAGGCGGGTGTCTTCGAACTCTTCTGTCAGAGCTAACTGGGGCTGAGAAGGAAGAATACAGCATCCCAACAGAAAGACGGAGATACTCGATAGAAATATTATCCTGACACGAGAATCGAACCCTTGACTCCTGCGTGCGATGGCGAAGCATCTAACCACTACGCCATCACAGATGCTGGTAAAAACGTGAATGTAATTATTGAAGTATTTGGGGTTTTTTTTAAATCAAGGTTCTCAAGCGATGAGCCTCACGTCACTAATACCTATCTGGCCTGTGACCTTTGGACGCGTGCTGAAACAATAGTTCAAGCAACAGGTTGTATTGGCTTATAATACGGGGTACCCACTACGGATGAGATCGGCCGATCGGGCCGATCTCCGGACTCGATCGCCTGAAGAACAAACGTGTTTGTTTTCAGTTCCAGGCGGTCGAGTCGGGCGATCGGCCCGATCCAGCTGTAGTGGGCACCCCGTATTTACATTTTACCAATAGCAAGGAATTTCCTGACCTGACCTGAAAACAATACTCAAACATAACACATGTGTATATGATGACGATGGTGATGACGATGATGATGATGATGATGATGATGATGATGATGATGATGATGATGATGATGATGATGATGATGATGATGATGATGATGATGA